ATCTCTCTCTCTCTCTTCTCTCATCGCTCTATCCCCTCTATATCTATCCTCTCTCTCTCCCTCTCTCTCTCTCCTTCCCTCTCTCTATCTCGGTAATCCGAGATGTCTCTGTGTGAAGAATTTGGAAACGTGCGCCACGACTGAAATGATGCCGCGGGTCACGAAACAAGTCAGAGAGAGTCCGGTGCACGCGGTTCTCTGCATTGTCTTGGCTGCCTCTTGTTGCGAAAGGCGCGCCGCAATTTAAAAAGGCGGAAGGTTTACCCTCAGACAGCTGCGGTCATGACCCAGCACGTGTGTTTGTTGCTCGCTGGTCAATGAACGCAGGTCACGTGGTAAATGATACCGCTGAGAGTGCACCTACCTGTTCGTACAACCAGGCGCGGATACCGCAGCAGGTACGACTCGTGAGTTGGGGCCGCCGTATCGACCCAGGGACGCCTCTGGGCCTCCAAACGCACGCAACGTCGCGCAGGCACGGAACATGCGATTACTGCGCGACGCTATCCCAGCCCTATTTTCGTCAACATACGAGTTCCGAAAAGTGGGAGTGCCATGTCGCCTGACCGTATAGCACCTGACAGCGTTTAAGCTGATAATGTATCACTGGTCGTGTATCAAATGCCCGTGAGTCACCTGATGGAGCGTCAGCTGGCTATACCGCATAACCATGTATCACTGGGCCGTGTGTTTTCTGACCAGTGGACGTGCGTCACCTGACCTTGCGTCACCTGACTGTGTGTCACCTGGCCAGTGGACGTGTATCACCTGACGTGTGTCAACTGACCCGTGTGTCACCTGGCCAGTGGACGTGCGTCACCTGACTGTGTCACCTGACCTCGTGTCACCTGACTGTGTGTCACCTGGTCGTGTGTCTGCCACTGCTCTCGCAGCTCGACGAGCGCGCTGGCGGCTCAGGACCGGTTCGGTGACAATGTTCGCCGCATGGACCGCAAGTTCACCATGTTCGTACCGTCCAACCTGGCCTGGGAGAAGCTCAAGCGCCAGCTGCCCACCTCCCAAAGTCACTGTTCAGGGCAAGGCGTCCTACCAGGTGGGTGGTGCGCTGGACACGCCGGGGTCTAAATCCATGGAGGAGGGACCAGTAGGCTACGAGAGCAGCCAGTGACCCGACGTTCATGTGTTGGGCGGTGGAGGAGGAGAGGGACCAGCAGACTACGACAGCAGTCAGCTGACGTGCATGTGTTGGGCGGAGGAAGAGGAGAGGGACCAGCAGACTGCGACAGCAGCCAGCTGACGTGCATGTGTTGGGCGGAGGAGGAGAGGGACCAGCAGACTGCGACAGCAGCCAGCTGACGTGCATGTGTTGGGTGGAGGAGGAGGAGAGGGACCAGCAGACTGCGACAGCAGCCAGCTGACGTGCATGTGTTGGGCGGAGGAGGAGAGGGACCAGCAGACTGCGACAGCAGCCAGCTGAGGTGCATGTGTTGGGCGGAGGAGGAGGAGAGGGACCAGCAGACCGTGACAGCAGCCAGTGAATTGACGCGCATGTGTTGGGCTGAGGAGGAGGAGAGGGACCAGCAGACTGCGACAGCAGCCAGCTGAACTGACGTGTATGTGTTGGGCGGAGGAGGAGCAGCGGTGCTACAGGTGTGCTGTATTGTTATACTGCGTGGCCATGTACACAACAATGTTTGATTTTTAATGGTGCATATCTTATGAAAGTCGTTGATGTTGCAAGTCATCCCATTGTTTAACGATTTTTGGGATGTTGTGATATACAGATGTGGGGGGGGGGGGGGGGGTAATCTGGCGCTTTTAACTGATCGGTGCGCTGACCAGCTCATGCCCGTCTGAATTATGTTTTTTTACGTTTCATGTGTAGCTCTCGGTTTTCTCTTGTTTATGTATGTAGAATCGTAGGGCAGAACCATTTGATTACGGTGATGAACCTTGTAACTTTACCCAAGCACCTCGCCCACCCAATATGAGCGGGTCAAGCCGTCGGGCTCCAGCGGCCTGACAGGGTTAGCGGCCCAGGAGAGCTCAATCCAGCGATTATGGAACGCTGTTCGTTCCCGCTCTCAGTGCTGTCTCCAGAGCCAGCGACTATGGAGCGCTGTCCGTTCTCGCTCTCAGTGCTGTCTCCAGAGCCAGGGACTATGGAGCGCTGTCCGTTCTCGCTCTCAGTGCTGTCTCAGAGCCAGCGACTATGGAGCGCTGTCCGTTCTCGCTCTCAGTGCTGTCTCCAGAGCCAGCGACTATGGAGCGCTGTCCGTTCTCGCTCTCAGTGCTGTCTTCAGAGTCTGTTTCTGTATCAGCGCGGTCTCCAATCCCCATCTTGATCCTTTTGAGGTCCCTGGACCCCCTCCCGACGCATGTGATCTCTGCCTCGATCTCAGCGCAGCCTCCAGGTCTCGCCCCGATCTCAGAGCTGTCCTCCACCTCTGCCCTGTTATCAGCGCATGACTAGATCAGGTGCAAAACGGTCAGGTGGCCCGCAGACAGGTAACAACGTCCTCCAGTCACCGATACTGTCTCAGTGGTACCTCCGGCCCTGACCTGTCTCGACCTGACCTGTCCTGACCTGTGTCTGGGACCTGTCTCAGCCCCGTAGTCGCCTGCGCTCCCTGCCGCCGTCCCTGGTTGCGGCCTCGGCGCTCTCTCCTGTTCATTGCCCCTGTCCCAGCTCGCCGGCTCACCGTCCGCACGTCCACAGGCCACCAACATCCTGGAGCGTCATCTGGTGATTGGCCATGCTTACAACATGGAGGAGCTGGTACGTCTGTCGCTGCAGGAGGGCGGCGTCAAGACCTTCAAGACCCTCTTCCACGTGGAGAACGTGCCTGGCACGTCAGGTGCGTGCAAGGCCGTCACAGAGCGGAAAAGTTAACGTTAAAGAGTAAAGGGTAAACTTATACAGACATTTCTAGTCCTTTTTTCTCGCTCGACCGTCAATTGTTTACATTATTCCCAACCAAATAGCGTGCAATGAGAAGTAGATGCTTCGATGCTCCCGCGTCGGTCAGTGTGGAAACAGTGCTTAACATACCATAGCCCGTCTTGAACCGGTGTGAGCATCATTCCTACGACGCAGCAGATATCACCCGGCGCTCTTCTTTAACAGCGCTCGGTGCTCCAATGAATGGTAAAGCTGATGGCGCTGCCTTAGCGGTGCCCGCCGATTAAGCGGCATTTTTATCAGATCCCCTGTAGCGGCTGGCATCCGCGGTCTCTGGCTGCTGTGCGATTTGTTGGCTTTTTTCAGTTTATGTGGAGATTCGTCCTACCTATAGTTTAACATTAGCAATCTCTGATTGATATTCTATCTGCTGGTACTATCATGCCACGCTATTAAGCGAATAACCTGTACATCGTTTATGGCTTTTCAACAAGCTTTGGTTTTGTGTCGTTTATGAAATGCCATTTTTGCTGTGTGTCTTTTGTGGATGTGCTGCTGTCCTGCATTTATCAGCTGTTAATTGACATGCGTTTACGAATGCATATGGTTTCGCTAAACTAGTTAAGGACATCTAGCGAATCCATACGGCCAAACCTACCACAAAAATTGTCAAAACTTACATTAGCTATGGTCAAAACCTAGTTGTCTCAGCATTTGACTTGATTCATCTTCCGCTTTAGGATCTGGCATGGCAAATACGGCTGATCAGAGACGTTGGAGGGCGCGTTGTAGCTGCCGCAGCTGTGTAAAAACTACATGACCTTGGATATATTTTCTACCTATAGAAAAAAATGAATTGCAGTCAGACTTCTCTGTAATTCAACCCTGCTGCTAAGTAAAAAGTTATCAGGTGCTTATAATTATGGAAACAATTCGATGCTGCCCTTCAGGCAATCATATGCTGCCAGCCACGCAGTTACGTCACGTTTGCGCGGAGCCCCAAGCTCAGGTCCCGTGCAGGGGTCACGGTGATGAGGCCGATCCTGATGCCTTCCCGAGCCCGCTCTCAGCACCCTTTTTTCTCCGCAGAATATGTCATCAAGTGGGAGGGCATGCAGGCGCGCGTCACGCGCACCAACGTCGAGTGCACCAACGGGTACATCCACGTCATCGACGGAGTCATGATGCGGGCGCGTGACGTCACCACCAGCGGAGCGCCGGCGGGTTTGTTAGTTCGGCGATCTGGCTCGTGGCGGCGCTGCTGTCGCTCCGGCTGTAAGCTGGCAGCGACCCCGCCCCGGCCCAGCAACTCCACCGCATTCTCAACTGGTTCAGCGAACGGTGGGCGCGTGGAGCTGCGGCCTGTGCGCGTGCACTGAGACCGGGTGCGCTCGCATGGCCACTTCTCCGCGAGCAGCGGCGTACATGGCGCTGCGGTAGCCGTCGCGGCGCCCGCCGCCGCGCCGCAAGAGCGTCCGGCCTTTCCAAAGAGACTCGCAGCCTTGGCCTCTCCGAAGAAGCTCGTTAGTGCACGTGATAGATGTTTGTGCGGCCAGGGGCATGGGCTGTACGCGTGGAATTGGCATTACGCTGCTATACAGCGCTGGTTTGAGGGGTGCGACGCGAGCAACGAACGCACCTCTACACCGGGTAAAGCTCTGGTGACCTCGCCATTTCACTCGGACTCTATTGAACAGATAAAGCGGCGCTTATTCTAGGTGATTTGCACTTGCCGTGAAACAGATCAAGACAGAAACGACCTCATCGATAAACCGCGAATGTGTGACAGCATGACACTGAATCTCCCGCGATTAGGGCCCCATGCAACGCAGAGCCTTGGCATAACCGGAGCCTATCGCTGTTTGGTTATGTAAGTAAACATCTTGACATTCCCCCTATTCCTTGGCCATGAAGTTTATGTTGTAGCTGTTCGTTCGTTCCTGGACTTCTGTCTTTTGTTACTTTTAACGCCTGCCGCCCCGAGAAGTTCAGCTTATTTCGTAACATATCTTGGCCAAATATAGCTTATCAGGGTTACTGACAGATTTAGAAAAGGGTTCACCTTAGGATATGGAGTTGAAAGACATCGCATCTTGGAACAGACTGTTCCACTGAAAGGTGATTTTCGGGACGAAATTCAGAGCTGTTTTAGCTTGACGACTTGTGCTTTGGGAGAGTTATTCACACGGCATATGCGAGATGCTCCTGATTTTGGGGCGGCAGATAATTGTGTTACTAATGTTCTACAGTCGGCAAATGACAAGCAAACATTGCGGCCACTAGAGTTCTAAGCAAAAAAGTTCAAAGGTGTGCGAGTCCAAATGCATGCTCCTGATAGAATGCAGAGCCCTCCTGCGCTTGTACGGTCAATGCTTCGACGGACCAGGCGGGGCTGGCGTGCAGCAGACGACTGTACTGCCTCTTAGCGCCCGAAGTCGTGCGCCGCACGGGGCGGCGCGTACCTGCGCTCCTCGGTCGTATCCGAGGCCGACGGCGGCAGGTGACCTCGGCTTCCCGAGGTCCGATCGGCTCGTGAGGGGGAGAGGAGACGGGCTCGTTGGAGCGACCTCCGCCGAGAGGGCGCTCTCGTCGCCGCCTGACCAGGGCCCAGTCAGTAGAGTCAGTCCGTGCCTGTCTGGCGGGCCTCGTGGCGCGCATGCGTGTGTGTTTGTGCAGCGTGCACTCTTCTGTGGCTAGCAGCTTACACGTGTCTTGGAGGCTGGAGCGAAGGGCCGAAAAGGTGTTTCGGCATTTGGGCCTCAGTGGATGAGTCCAGCGTGCGTGGTTGTCCTCGCCAATTACGCTAAGCTGGCGCATCGCTAGCTTAGCACGAGTGCACTGGAGCGCGGCGAGCGCGCTGAGGCCGTGTGTGCGCGCGCCAGACGTATCACGTGTTCATTTATTGCATGTTGTAGGCCGGTTGTGAGCAAAATGGATGTGGACGTGGCTTAGCTTTGGCGTGTGGATCTGTAGCGTTAGCCTTTGCTGGGCCTTGCCTGTCCCGAGTTTGGAGTGTGGGGATCCGTCCTGCTCTCTGGTGACGGGCAGGCATATACTACGCCGTACCTACATTGTAGATGCCTAGAAGTTAGCAACTCTGAAGGCCACGGCCTATATTTGCCAGATGTTTGCGCGCTATGGAGGGAACATCTACTGTTCGTATAATCTCAAAATGAAATGCGCTATGTGGTAATGTTGATATGCGTTATCTGAAGAGCGCTGGCATCTACCCTCTCCGTCGTCCCCTCGCGTTAAAACGCGTCTGTTCGTGCCTATCTGTGTTCCATTCTCCCGCTATAGACATGTGCCTGGGGGAGTCTCACGTGGTTTAACACTCCGCTTCATGCATGTCAGCCTCCCGCCGCGTACCGAAGACAGTGAGCAGCAGCTCATGGGCCGGCTCCACCCAGCGGAACGCTGTCCTCGTGTGTCCGTTTAGTCTGTACCGTTCCACGTTCCGTTCCTCTGCAACCTGTCGCTGGCCGGCGTTGCGCCCGCCGCTGGGTTCGGCTGGCTGCGCCGGCCGCCGGACCTACGACAGCGGCCACCCGCGCCTCTCAGCCGTGTTTTTGTATGATTTATCGTTGCCGGTGACCACACGAAATACAGTGCACGAAAAGACGCCGGCGGTTGGACCTGGGCTGCAGTCTAAGCGGGCTGTTCGGGACTAACAGCTACAGTCTGAGCGGGCTACTCGCTACAAACACCTGCAGTCTGAGCGGGCTGTTTGGGACAAAAAGCTGCAGTCTGGGCGGGCTGTTCGCGACAGACAGCTGCAGTCTGAGCGGGCTGCTCGCTACAAACAGCTGCAGTCTGAGCGGGCTGTTCGGGACTAACAGCTACAGTCTGAGAGGGCTGCTCGCTACAAACGGCTTCAGTCTAAGTGGGCTGGCTCGCGATGAACAGCTGTAGTCTGAGCAGGCTGGCTCACAATGAGCAGCTGCAGTCTGAGCGGACTGGCTCGCGACGAACAGCTCCCGAAGGAGTAACTGTAAGCCTAAACGCGGACAATACGATGGACGATGGCACAGACACTCCCTGACTCGGCTTTGCCGCCAAGACTTCTCACCTGCTCGGCTCTTCCTCGACGCATTGTTACAAACACGTCTCTTAAGTGCGCGAAGGAAGGATTTAGAATTAGGAGGCGGTAGGACGTCTGTTTCCGAAATGCGACAGCTGTAAGACGCGCATGGTGTTTCAAAATGTGTCTGCACATTTGGTCCAGTAGCTCCAATCGTTTTTACATTCGGGCGGCGCAAATACCCCAAAATTACGTGTAGAGTTCAGTTTATCGAATAACACTTGCAAACTGGTCTATTTTTTGGAATTGTTGTTCTGGCTAATTTTTAACGGGTTTATTTTCTAATGGATGGAACATGCTTTTTATCACTTCACATATCACAGACATCGCCGAGCAGTAAATACGGGTGTTGCTGTCACTGTCACGGTACTGTTAGTGACGTGTTGATTTTCACAAGGTGAATCTCTCAATGACAAGAATGGTTCAGGCCGATCTTTGCTGGTCAGCCGGGTACTAAAACTTGCCTGCGCCAAAGCTGTGCTGATGAAAGGCAGAGCGTGGGAAAAATATCAGCCAAACTGAAAGGCAAGAGAGGGATTTGGGGCATGCAGCGCGACCGTTAACCGTTACATCAGGCGCTCCTGGGCTTCACGGTACACTTAAGGGTTAAGCAGTCAAAATTGACCGCAACAAAAGCGAAAGGCAAACGCGAAGCTTCACAAAAAATAAAAACTGTAACAAGGATAATTCTGAAGAGGCTATTTGGAAAGACCAGTTTGTTTTCGGGCTCAGACAACCCTCCCCTCCAGCTAAAAACGCCCGCATTTGGGGGAAAAGCGAGCAGAAGTACCTACCCTCCTGGCCGACTTGAGAAGAACTCAGAAGGTCATGCTCTCTGAGGTGGAGGGGGAGGGGGATAATGACTGCTCTGGGACTCATAGAGCTGCACGTGGAGCCGAAAACCAGACCGTCGGCGTAGCCAGATGGTGCGTGAGACGCCGGCCGCCATATGCATGCCAGGTGGCGCTCCGCTCACGTGGCGTAGAGCTCCAGGGTGGTCTCAAGCGACATTTCCGAGGTTCGGGGACACGGAATGTAGCCGGGGAACTATCCTGGTCGGAACCGCATCGACAATATTTTGGGCACCCTGAAGGCACGCCTCAGCGAAATGGACCTCGCAAGCAAAAGCATCTCGGGGCTGGAGGCGTTTCTGTAGAGGTAGTGGGCAAACATCTCACGCTCCATGCTCTGCAAAATGGTGGATAGTATGCCAAAAAGAGTTGCCAAGCGTCTGGCATTGCGCAGGGAGTGCGAGGGTAAGCCAATAGAAAATGTCTGATGCGTCTTACGAGTTCCGCACATGGTGGAAAGGTGAAAGCGAATCTAAAAGTCATCCTGTGTGTCGCGGCAGCCCGTGCTATCATGCTGCCGCACGTCTGGGTGGCAGCACGGACCAGTCCATCCACTGCCGTGGGAAGTGACGGCCACTCCCACGTGCGGTGATCCACACTCCGCTATTACTGCCTCACGGACGCCGCCAGTTCGAGTGCGTGTTCAAACGATGTCAACAGCCGGAGCGAGTCTGTCGTTCGTGGTGTGCACGGAAGCGAGGCAGTATGGTCTGTCGTTCATGGTGTACACGGAAGCGAGGCAGTATAGTCTGTCGTTCGTGGTGTGCACAGAAGCGAGGCAGTATAGTCTGTCGTTCGTGGTGCGCACAGAAGCGAGGCAGTATAGTCTGTCGTTCGTGGTGTGCACGGAAGCGAGGCGGTATGTTCGACTGTATTTGGCTCGCTTCCACGGCTGTGATTAATATTTTCTGGCATAAACAACGATTGGGTCGACCAGCAATTCAAACAAACGTAAAATTTACCAATTTCACTGAACATCCATGTAGTGCGACACTTCTGTGAGGCAGTCGAAGAAAAAAATATCGCCACAACACGACTGATCGCACGTTAACTTCTCCATGCATAATAACGATCCAACAGAATGCCGGAGAGGGACACACCCTAATATAAAGCTATCACGACAAGCGAGCACAACTCAATTATTTAACACTCGTAATATCGCATGAAACACTAATATATATAAGCAGTCCGCTCAGATCTGGAGTCAGCTGATGGCCGACCGCATAGCGTGCCGGCGACCCGTCGTGGCTCTTCGGGTTGAGGTGCTCCAGGGTGAGGCGGTCAGCGGCGCTCCTCGGACCAGGCGATCAGGCGATGTTCCCCGAGTCAGGCAGTCAGCGGTGTTCCCCGGGTCAGGCGATCAGCGGTGTTCCCTGGGTCAGGCGGCCAGGCGGTGGTCCCCGGGTCAGGCGGTCAGGCGGTGCTCCCCGGGTCAGGCGGTCAGCGGTGTTCCCCGGGTCAGGCGGTTAGCGCTGCTCCCCGGGTCAGGCGATCAGGCGGTGTTCCTC